AGACCAACGTGTGTCCGCCTCGGCGGCCCTTCCTGAAGCCTCGGTTCCCGGGGGACTCGGTTGCAGCCAGAGGCCGAGGCACCTGGAGAGGCCGGTGACCCTGTGCCTTCTGCCGTTGGCGGAATCTGGTTCCTGGGCCGGGCCTTGTGTCCTGTCCGCACCGTCTGTGCCAGCGACCCCTGACGTGTGGCGCTGCGGCCGTCCCCAGGGACCAGGGGTTGCCCGCCCGGTGTAGGAGGGCACAGGCCGAACCTGGCCTGCTCCCTGGTTTTGTTGGGTCAGTGAGCTGAGTGGCTTTTTACTTCTTTTAAAGTAATGGAAAAAATCAAAGGGAGCGTATTCGTGACACGTGGAAACTAAATGAGATCCAGGTCTTAGGTCCACGGGTAGTTTTGCAGGGGCCCGGGCCCACTTCATTGACAGATTGTCTTGCTGCCTTTGCCCCACAGTGACAGAGTCGGCACTGAGGCCACGGGGCCTGCAGGGCCGAAAGCAGCGGCTGTCTGGAACTTGGTGGAAAAGGTCTGCCCGGCCCTGCGGCGCACGCCGACTGCCGGGCTGCTGACGTCCGGCGGGTCTGGATCAGCTGTGTCTGCGGTACCAGGCCGCCTCCGGCCGCGCGGACTGCAGTGTCCGCGTTTTGGGGCAGAATCACAGTCGACCTCTTTGCTGCTGTGGGAAATAGGCGAATGTCCATTCCTCAGAAGCAGGACTCTCTGGTTACCCTGTTGACGTGCAGAGCTCGTCTATCAATATTGGTCGTTTAGATTAGCAGTTAGACGAAAGTCTGAGCGCATTGGTTGGAGTTACTTTTTTAATTGCCTGAATTGTCAGAATGAGTATTGCATAAAACTGTTTATGGACACATGAAGTTCATAGGATTGGAGCGATTTTCCTCCTTTCTCTTTTTTTGATGTGCACATAGAGTTTATTGACCTGGGCGCAAATCCAAAGTCAGGATCCACAGCAATTGCGTGTGTAATCAGTCCTGGTTTGAGGGGTTGGGGTGTTTGACAGGGTTCCCTGCGTGACAAGTACTCTAGTCCACCTCTGCTGCTTGCAGGGGGGTGACGGCCAGATACAGTGTGCCGATGACCGTTGTTTCTTCTAGTGAGATGTCTCCAGGTTTTCGGACGTTGCAGTTAACATTTGTGAACCAGTGAATTTTCCCGTGCACTTTAAGGCAGTGAGATGCACAAGCTTATAGATGGGCCTCAGGTTATTAAGCGGTCAGCTTGACGGAGTTGACACTAGAGGATGTTTTCACACTTGCAGGAAGCAAGGTCAAAATAAAAGATTAATAATTGTGAGACTTGATGAAGGCACACAAGTGAAAACTAAACTACAGCACTTGCTTGTCCCACATTCTGCAGAACGGCACCGCTGCTGTGCAGCTGCTTCCACCCTGCATCCACCCTGCCTTTTCCGCCCTGCCCTAGGGAAAGTCTTTTTCAGACCCTTCCCACCCACCTCATGTACAAGTTCATCGCAACTGCATGACTTCAGAAGAGAGTGCTGGGGGACACACGGAGGGGCCAGTGCCACAGGTGGTAAAAAGAATTTACCAAGAGCAAGAAGTTTAAGAACAAAGGAAAAGGTTAATAGTTGAGCTGCTGTAGGCAACAGCGGGCCGCATAGGTTCCTGCATGCCCATCGAGTGTGAACGTGCAGGACCTTTTATCAGCGAAGGGGCTGGGGACGCAAAGGGCGGGGGGAACAGCCTTCTGGCTGGCTGTAAACGAGATGAGGCGCTCTGGTACATGGGAGGATAGTGGCCTTACGGCTCCAGGAAGGTGGAGACGTTGGCTGACACCAGCAGGGGAGTGGGATTTATGACTCCGAGAAGGAGGAGACGTGGGCAGAGACGAGTCATTTCCATTTCCAGGGTGGTCAGTTCTGCTGAGGCAAACCCCTGTCAGGAGCTTGTCTTCCACAGAGGGGCAGGCAGACACGCCAGGGCTGGAAGTCGGGGCCGTGCGGCCTCGGCAGGCACTAGCTGTCCTGGCAGAGGTTTGCCCCGTGGGCTCAAGGTTTTCCCAGGATGGGCCATTGCTTAGCTGACAGGACAAAACAGAAACCACCTGGAGAGAGTCTCGCAGGCCCCACTCCACCTGCCCAGCTGTCACCAGCTGTCCCCTCCCCTGCCGGACGGCCTTACGTGAGCCGCCCCTGCTGCCTGTGTGGCTGAGCCTTCAGCTGTTTGCTAGATGCCCCGCTCCTACTTAGGGACATCTTTTCAGCAGTTCTTCCCTCCTCTCTCTGCATCAGCAGCGCCCTCCCACCGTTGGACCCACTCCTCTCACTCACAGCGCTGTGCTGAAACTCCTCTGGCAAGTCGCCGGGGGCCTTCGCTTGCTAAATCCAGTAGCCATTCCCTGGGCTCGCCTTCTTGTCCTGTCAGCATCTTCCCATCTAGCTGGCCCCTTTCTTGTACATATGCTTTGTTCCTTCGCTTTCAGGACACCACACTTCCTTAATTTTCTTTTTTTGCTCCTGACTACTCTTCATAGTCTCCTTTGCTGATGCCTCATCTCCCTGACTTTCTGGTGTTAGAGGGCCCCAGGGCTGCCTCAGTACACTCACTCCCTCAGAGAATCTCCATTCACTTTCATGACTTTAATTACCATTTATAAGGGGGTGGGTAGAGCTCAGTGGTAGAGCATGTGCTTAGCACGCGTGAGGTCCTGGGTTCAATCCTCAGTGCTTCCATTACAAAACAAATAAACCTACCACCCCCCAATATCCCCCCAAATATCATTTATGTATATGCTGATGACTCATAAAATGCTATCTCCCCTGATCCCTTAGGAATCATCTTGGCAGAGAATAGGAAAATAAATAAAGCCATTGACCATTTTAGAGGCGGTCAGTCACACCTGTATTTTAAGAAATGCAAATCCAAACTACAGTAAGATGTCATTTTTATATATAGGATAACCAAAAGTTAAATGTCTAAGTTATACATCAATAAAGCTGATTATAAAAACAAAACAAAACACAAAAACAGCTTCTCTACAACCTGGTCCATCTGATCCCAGGTATGTTACATAAAGTAAAAACAATATTTAACACCTTTATTATAGTACAATTCCTGTACAGTAAACTACACATATTTTCTATGTACAATTTGATGAATTTTGATAGATGTATATGCCCATGAAACTACTACCACAATCAAGGTAGCTAACGTTTCTATCACTCCAATCAAGAGTTGCAAATTTTGAATTCCCAGTTTATCCCTTCCCACCCCCTGTACCCCGTGGTAACCATAAGCTTGTTCTCTATGTCTGTGAGTCTATTTCTGTTTTGTTAGTAAGTTCATTTGTGACCTTTTTATAGATTCCTATGTGGACATCGCATGGTATTTTTCTCAGAAAGTAAAAATTATTTCAACTTACTAACACACTATGTCTTCCTCTGCAAAATGGAGATTCCAATCCTAACTTACAAGTTGGTTAAGAGGATAAAATATGGCAATAATTGTAAAGCCAGGACCTAGGACAGAACAGTTGTTCCGTAAATGCTAATTGAATCTTTTTTTTTTCCCTACAAGACCTGGTCTACACCAGGAATGCATCAGCCTGAGTAAAGTGCTGAGAGAAGGAATGTTGGGACAATGATGGAGATGTCCTAAATGAGGGCACAAGGTCGGGAATATTCCTCACAAAGACGCTTGGTTATCCGCGAACGAGCTGAGGCTTTGAGCCCCAGAGGGGACAGTGCAGGTCACAAGATGTCAGACGCAAGCGAAGGACACCCACCATTGTCTGGAGCACAGAAGGCCTTGTAGGAAGGCAGTAGCTAAGGAGCACCCACCGGAGCCGGGCTGTCCTCCCTTTCCCAAGCAGAGTCCTCTCCTGGGCGGGCAAGGGACTGGAGGAGGTAGAGCCAGGGGCTAAGAAAGGGTGTGACCCTCAGAATGTCCTTGGAAATTCCCAA